CTTCTTCTTATCATAGCATACCAACCAGCGAACACCCAGCCAAGTTTAGTTAGCCAGTTTGAGTATTCGTTACACTTTATATAAACCTCTTCTACTACTAAATAACCTTAACTACTACTACTACTACTAAGAGACCTTCCTTTATAAACTTAATAGAGGAGGAGGAGGAGGAGGAGGAGGAGGCTCTTACCTTAGGTCTTATATTATAGATATTATAGGTTACTCCTACGTTTAATTTTAAACTATAGATATTATAGGTTACTCTTATATTTAATTTTATACTAAGTTAAATAATAATACTAGTAATAATAGTAAGGGGTTACTATCTAAGAGCGCTTTTAATAAAGAGGGTTTACTATCTAAGAGTGCCCTTAATAAGGAGGATTTACTACTTAAGAGTACTTTTAATAAGGTTAAGATAACTTAGATAATAAGAATAAGAAGAATAAGAGTTATAGTAGGCTATAGTAAAGAGATATAAGATTACTATCTCTTTTTATAAAAAAGGATAAGGATAGTAATAATAAAAGAGAGATTACTACCTTTATTACTAAAAAGAATTAGATTTATTAAGATTAACTTAATTATAATAAATAACTAAGAAAAGAGTTATATAAGTAGGATTAGATTAAGGAGGACCTTAAATTAAAGAAGGAGTAGTATATAATAAAAGTAATTTAGTTATACTAGGGTTAAGGTTAATATTAAAATACTAGAGTTAGTTTTAGGAATATAAATACTAGCTTAATTATAAAGGAGAACTTAAATATTAATAAGATAGAGTAAGCTTATCTTAATAAAGAGCTTTAGAAGCTTATTTTACTTATACTATTACTAATACCTATTAGGAATAGTCTTACTTTAAAGAAGAAGAGGGAGGCTCGTTATACTACTAAACTTAGTAAGGTTTATAGTAAACTAATAAAGAAATAGTAAAGGTATAAGTTATATAAAAGAGATTAGTTCTATAGACTAAACCTTTAATATAAACAAGCTATTAATTCCTTCTATAAACTTAATCTATAGTATAAACTAGTAGTTAATTTATACTATTAAAAGCGCTATATATCTATATTTACTTATTTTATTCTTAGGTACTTATATCCTATTATAATATATACTAGTTTTTCTTAGTATTTTAATATTTTATAATAGTTAAGGTAGAGTTTTAAAGTTATATAGTATATGTATTTAGCTTAATACTAGCTAGTATATATTAATAGAAAGTAAGTAGTTAGTAACTTACAAGGATTATATATATCTTTAATTCAAGTTTATACTATAATCTTGTCTCTTGTCCTTATTTATTTCTCTATAAATAGTCTTATTTTACCTTTAATTCTAGCGCTATTATATAACCCTAACCCTAAGCTAGTTTACGATTTACGAATTATAATTTTATACTAAATAGGATTAAAATTTAAGATTTGCGATTTACGAATTAGTATTTACTCCATTTGACCTTTTAGTACATTCAGGATGCCGTAGTAGGATGATGTTGGAGTTTGTGCTTGCCAATCAAGAGAAAGGCAAAAGAAATATACAGAGAGAACTTTTAAAAGTAAAGAATTTCAATCGACATCAGTAATAGCCTTTTCGCACAGTAGAAAGAAGACGCCCGTAAGGGTCATGCACATATCACGTTTCCAGTATTCACTGAATACCTCGAAGGACAGCCAGTTTGGCGAAAGAAACAAGACCAGCATTTTTGAAATTGAAATTATTAGAACGATTTTCTGTCAGCATACTACAAAGTGTACAAACTCTGCTGTATAGAGTGATTTTCGGAAGTGTTTCCGTGTATTAAGCTCGTACGATGTCGCGTGACTTTCCCCATAACCGATGAACTCAGAGCCGGCTAGTAGAGCCGGACCCCCCCACTAACCCCGCCTTCCTTACATCCTTGTCTCAACAATCCGTACGGTAGGTGGGATGAAGATTACTACCCGGATGGACATTTGTTGCCGTTGTTAATTAAAAGACTTTTTTATTTCTTGACTTGGTTCTTTTGATTCCAATCCAGGCCCTTTGATCTTCCTATCCTGTTGCTTCTATTTCAATTGGTCCCCACGTCATTAACGTTCTCCCACAGCAAGCCTGAGAGACACTGTAGCTATGTACACAGCTTCTGTGAGTTTCATTCAGTCGTTCAAAAATTATAGTTATCCCCTTGAGATTTCCGTTCGAATGAATTTTAAGACAATTCAATACATTTCTGTTGCCCATTCTCAAGTTTAGGTGTCTTCTAATGCAGTACTAATATGTGAATAGTTCGCCTTCTTCGAGGCGTTATGGGAGGTGAGCTTGACTAATCTCTCGCCCCAAACATATAACTTGATAAATAACAATTCTCCAGGCGGGCATCACCCATTGCTTTGTCAATCTAGGCTCCGATCACCCCTCCATCCTAGAGGCGATGGTAAAAGGACAACAAGAGAATGATGGCCAATTCCCACGAATAATCACATGTCCCAACGAGGTACGGCATTCCATCAAAAGCTCTTTGAACCACGTGGGAACTAAAACCATCGAAATAGATGGTAGCTCTTTCCATGGCCGACGGCTTCGCCCGTCTCACCCGCAAACCGCAATGCGTAATAGTCCACGTAGACGTAGGAACGCAAGGGCTGGGAGCCGCAATCCACAACGCCTCATGCGGACGAGCCCCCGTCCTGATATTCGCGGGTATCTCCCCCTTCACGATAGAAGGCGAGATGCGAGGTTCGAGAACCGAGTACATCCATTGGATCCAGATGTTCCCAATCAGCAGGAAATCGTGAAGCAGTACTGCCGATACAGCGCGGAGATCAAGAGCGGCAAGAATGTGAAGCAGATGGTTAATCGGGCGCTGCAATTTGCGACTAGCGATCCAGCCGGACCAGTGTATTTGTGTGGTGCGAGGGAAGTTATGGAGGAAGATTTGACGCCGTATCATCTGAAGCAGGAGGAATGGAGCTCCGTTGAGCCAGCGGCTTTAAGCGAGGGGGCTGTTGCGAGGATTGGAGAGGCTTTGGTGAAGGCTAGGGAGCCGCTGGTTATTACGGGCTATAGTGGACGGAATCATGATGCTGTTGGGGCTTTGGTGAAACTCGCTGATACTGTGAAGGGATTGAGAGTTCTGGATACCGGGGGAAGTGATATGTGTTTCCCAGCTGATCATAGAGCGTGGTTAGGGTTGAGATATGGTGTTGATGAATGTGTGAAAACCGCAGATTTAATTTTGGTTCTTGATTGCGGTATGGGTCCTTTCAATCCCCCAAAGTTCATTTATACTCATTCAGAAACTAGACGTCCCATGGATCAACACACATAATCACCCATCCCATACAGCTCAGATTTTTCATATCGATACAGATGTTCTCAAACGCCAGATGCCAGTTTTTTACATCGCAGCATCAGCTCGCTACAGCGCAGATTCCTTCACAGCCCTCACACAACTCAACAATTATATTTCCAGCTCCCAATCACTGACAGCATATGAAGACTTCCACACCAAGCAATGGGCCAAATTACTCACGTCCTATGAGACTCGAATGACCAACATCTCCATCCAAGCACAACCCAAAGAAAACGGCAGCTTCGGAACAGGACATCTCTGCGCAACACTGCGTAACCTCGTTCCCCACGACACAATATGGGCCATAGAAGCTGTAACCAACACCCCCTTCGCAGCAGACAACATCCGGGCCACCATCCCAGGGACTTGGATCAACTGCGGCGGCGGAGGACTAGGCTGGTCCGGTGGCGGAGCCCTAGGCATAAAACTAGCCTCCACCCAGATCCACGGGCCTAACAACCCCAAATTCGTCGTGCAAATCGTAGGCGATGGAACTTTTCTATTCAGTGTTCCATCCAGTGTATACTGGATCTCGCAACGCTACAATCTACCCATCCTAACCATTGTCCTGAATAACAAAGGCTGGAATGCGCCCAGGAAGAGCATGTTGCTGGTCCATCCTGATGGGTTGGGCTCCAAGGTTTCGAATCGCGAGTTGAATATTGAGATTGCTGGGCCGGATTATGCGGGGATTGCGAGAGCTGCTAGTGGTGGGTGGTGTTTTGGGGGAAAGGTTGATAGCACGGGGAATTTGGCGACGGTGCTTAGGGAGGCGGTGGAAGCTGTCAAGGGGGGGAGGACGGCTGTTGTTGAGGCGGTTGTAGAGCCTGGTTGTTGAGGCGGTTGTAGAGCCTGGTTGTTGAGGGTGTGTCGAATGTGACGGTGTAGATTTGATATTTTGTGGTTGATTCCTTGGGGGTGCTTCATCTTTCTTGTAGTGTTTCTTAGAGATAGAAGAGCCGTTAAGCGAATCGTAAAGACTGACATGAAATATCCGAAGCCTTCATCGATGTAGAGTGATACAGAATCAACCTGATGAAGATAACACACATAAGCATGTAAATAAGGCATATCGAGTTCAGAATGCTCAGGGTAAATGAGCTTGAAATGACTCTGGATGGAGCACAATCCTCTATGCATGTCTTCTCTTTTTCGGTATTCATCTTGTCTCTTTCAACTCATGTCTAACAAGGCGAAAGCGCCAATCAAGCATTACTACCGAACTGGCCAAGGGCGTAGCTTGACCATGTAATCAGGGGTATTGCAATAGTAAGATCGTCTCCACTATCGGTACACAATAGCTCAGAATCAAGACTCTATCATGTCCGGTGTCCAGACTACCCTCATCTTGAATACAGATAGACCAAATCGAAGATTTGCATGTACCCAAGGCCAGCTGCTTATCGAAAAGAAGTCTGTTTATGCGGTGCGTCTAGCTGAATTTTTGATCTCAGTATGTAAAATATGGTAAATTGAACGGAATTGGAAAGGTTGTAATAAATGTTTTTGGGGGGGGGATTTTACCTCTGTCGATGGAGGTTGATAGGATATAGATATGCCAGTGTAACGCGCCAGATTGGTATATGAACGAAAAGAGGAGTTGGTTATTGAGTCAGTTCAATGAACACGATTCTATGTTAGAACCCCAGACGGATGATTTAACATGTGTGTTACACAAAATCCCATTTCTTTCTCAATGAAAGCCTCCCCGTCGAGATACCAGAAGTCCAAAAACCCCACCTACTCATCCGATTTCCCAAACAAGCAAAATAGGATTTCCACAACGCGTCTGATCACCAAACTATTATGACAGATTGTTGCAAATCGCAAAGGTGGCCAGACCCCCAAACCCAAACAAACCCTCGAACGACATTCGAAGATCGTGTTCCAGACTTCTGGCGGGGGGTCTTGGGTCTTTAGCCTGTGTATGCATGCCATGTCCTTTGCATACAAACGTTTCCTAAGTAGGGCTTTTGTTGCACATCGCGATGGACAGCTGAAAATGTCTCAGATGAGGAATTCTCAGGAGTGGGATTTCTCTAGAACCTTGATTTTGGGGATGGGGAAATAGACACGTGAAGCTACCGGAGGGTGATGGGTTGAAGGATGAAGCCTGTAAGTCTTACAGCCCTTCAACTTGTGCTTGGTATTTTTGGAAATTTATGAATCTGTAGGCTCGACCCGAGGGCGAGGTGGATACTTCCGATTCTCCCCGTGTGGTTTGCCTAGGCGTGAGAAACGATTGAGTTTTTCACGTTGGGAAATATGGTATTTGACTTGAGAAGACCGAAATGCCATGGTGGATGACAAAGGAAAGTGGAACCGATGCTCTGGAGAGCGTCGCGCAACTGCAAGTCCTTACTTTGGAGTCGGGCCCACTGCTAATAAAGAATACTTTGAAGAAAGTACAGAAGATCGAGTCCGGTGATAAAAATATCGATTGACCTGTTGACGACCATATCGTGCTACTATCCTTTTCCATCCCCCCTGAACAAGATGTTATTTCGTGCAGAGTGGGTTACACGTTATACAGTTAAAAGAGGGTGGCCAGCTCGGGTTGATCCCCTGGCCTAGGGATCTATATTACAATTTGATCCTGATTTTCAGCTAAGACTGCGAACTCGAAATTCGAAATTCGAATGTAGGCGGTATGGACTTCTCTTACATACAATTTACGTGATAGTGTCAAGCTTTGACTGGGACAAAGTAGCTGATAGCAACAAAGTCTAGTTTTGTAGTAAGACAAAGCCCCTCCTCGAATTGCAATCTCAATAACAATCAACATCCGATTCTCTCTAGTGTTTTACCCCGCATATAGTACTTCTGTCTACATAGTGCTACTTCTATCGAATTAAAAGACATGTTGATAAAAAAGAATTGTAAGTGTAATTACTTATAACTTAGTCCTATTCTAAGAGCATAAGTCTTCCTAATACATTGTATGTGTATTGAAGGAACCAGATTTCCTTTTATTTAGTATCACGCACAGGATGGTGTGATTGTTATAGGTAAAATACTCTTAGGAGCTTAGATTAAACGAGAAAACTCTGCTTATATACAGAGAGATCACCATGAGTCACATGACTACACGTGACATCTATTCAGTTGGACACTGGTCCGGCTGGATCGCTAGTCGCAAATTGCAGCGCCCGATTAACCATCTGCTTCACATTCTTGCCGCTCTTGATCTCCGCGCTGTATCGGCAGTACTGCTTCACGATTTCCTGCTGATTGGGAACATCTGGATCCAATGGATGTACTCGGTTCTCGAACCTCGCATCTCGCCTTCTATCGTGAAGGGGGAGATACCCGCGAATATCAGGACGGGGGCTCGTCCGCATGAGGCGTTGTGGATTGCGGCTCCCAGCCCTTGCGTTCCTACGTCTACGTGGACTATTACGCATTGCGGTTTGCGGGTGAGACGGGCGAAGCCGTCGGCCATGGAAAGAGCTACCATCTATTTCGATGGTTTTAGTTCCCACGTGGTTCAAAGAGCTTTTGATGGAATGCCGTACCTCGTTGGGACATGTGATTATTCGTGGGAATTGGCCATCATTCTCTTGTTGTCCTTTTACCATCGCCTCTAGGATGGAGGGGTGATCGGAGCCTAGATTGACAAAGCAATGGGTGATGCCCGCCTGGAGAATTGTTATTTATCAAGTTATATGTTTGGGGCGAGAGATTAGTCAAGCTCACCTCCCATAACGCCTCGAAGAAGGCGAACTATTCACATATTAGTACTGCATTAGAAGACACCTAAACTTGAGAATGGGCAACAGAAATGTATTGAATTGTCTTAAAATTCATTCGAACGGAAATCTCAAGGGGATAACTATAATTTTTGAACGACTGAATGAAACTCACAGAAGCTGTGTACATAGCTACAGTGTCTCTCAGGCTTGCTGTGGGAGAACGTTAATGACGTGGGGACCAATTGAAATAGAAGCAACAGGATAGGAAGATCAAAGGGCCTGGATTGGAATCAAAAGAACCAAGTCAAGAAATAAAAAAGTCTTTTAATTAACAACGGCAACAAATGTCCATCCGGGTAGTAATCTTCATCCCACCTACCGTACGGATTGTTGAGACAAGGATGTAAGGAAGGCGGGGTTAGTGGGGGGGTCCGGCTCTACTAGCCGGCTCTGAGTTCATCGGTTATGGGGAAAGTCACGCGACATCGTACGAGCTTAATACACGGAAACACTTCCGAAAATCACTCTATACAGCAGAGTTTGTACACTTTGTAGTATGCTGACAGAAAATCGTTCTAATAATTTCAATTTCAAAAATGCTGGTCTTGTTTCTTTCGCCAAACTGGCTGTCCTTCGAGGTATTCAGTGAATACTGGAAACGTGATATGTGCATGACCCTTACGGGCGTCTTCTTTCTACTGTGCGAAAAGGCTATTACTGATGTCGATTGAAATTCTTTACTTTTAAAAGTTCTCTCTGTATATTTCTTTTGCCTTTCTCTTGATTGGCAAGCACAAACTCCAACATCATCCTACTACGGCATCCTGAATGTACTAAAAGGTCAAATGGAGTAAATACTAATTCGTAAATCGCAAATCTTAAATTTTAATCCTATTTAGTATAAAATTATAATTCGTAAATCGTAAACTAGCTTAGGGTTAGGGTTATATAATAGCGCTAGAATTAAAGGTAAAATAAGACTATTTATAGAGAAATAAATAAGGACAAGAGACAAGATTATAGTATAAACTTGAATTAAAGATATATATAATCCTTGTAAGTTACTAACTACTTACTTTCTATTAATATATACTAGCTAGTATTAAGCTAAATACATATACTATATAACTTTAAAACTCTACCTTAACTATTATAAAATATTAAAATACTAAGAAAAACTAGTATATATTATAATAGGATATAAGTACCTAAGAATAAAATAAGTAAATATAGATATATAGCGCTTTTAATAGTATAAATTAACTACTAGTTTATACTATAGATTAAGTTTATAGAAGGAATTAATAGCTTGTTTATATTAAAGGTTTAGTCTATAGAACTAATCTCTTTTATATAACTTATACCTTTACTATTTCTTTATTAGTTTACTATAAACCTTACTAAGTTTAGTAGTATAACGAGCCTCCCTCTTCTTCTTTAAAGTAAGACTATTCCTAATAGGTATTAGTAATAGTATAAGTAAAATAAGCTTCTAAAGCTCTTTATTAAGATAAGCTTACTCTATCTTATTAATATTTAAGTTCTCCTTTATAATTAAGCTAGTATTTATATTCCTAAAACTAACTCTAGTATTTTAATATTAACCTTAACCCTAGTATAACTAAATTACTTTTATTATATACTACTCCTTCTTTAATTTAAGGTCCTCCTTAATCTAATCCTACTTATATAACTCTTTTCTTAGTTATTTATTATAATTAAGTTAATCTTAATAAATCTAATTCTTTTTAGTAATAAAGGTAGTAATCTCTCTTTTATTATTACTATCCTTATCCTTTTTTATAAAAAGAGATAGTAATCTTATATCTCTTTACTATAGCCTACTATAACTCTTATTCTTCTTATTCTTATTATCTAAGTTATCTTAACCTTATTAAAAGTACTCTTAAGTAGTAAATCCTCCTTATTAAGGGCACTCTTAGATAGTAAACCCTCTTTATTAAAAGCGCTCTTAGATAGTAACCCCTTACTATTATTACTAGTATTATTATTTAACTTAGTATAAAATTAAATATAAGAGTAACCTATAATATCTATAGTTTAAAATTAAACGTAGGAGTAACCTATAATATCTATAATATAAGACCTAAGGTAAGAGCCTCCTCCTCCTCCTCCTCCTCCTCCTCTATTAAGTTTATAAAGGAAGGTCTCTTAGTAGTAGTAGTAGTAGTTAAGGTTATTTAGTAGTAGAAGAGGTTTATATAAAGTGTAACGAATACTCAAACTGGCTAACTAAACTTGGCTGGGTGTTCGCTGGTTGGTATGCTATGATAAGAAGAAGAACGAAGCTCCTATCTAATGGCAGACGTGCCAGTCTTATATAGAGGACCTTCGTTCTGTCTTGATCACTCTCATCGACTGTTGATGTTGGCGATCATCGCTTTCATCGACAACGATAATGTCGATGAAGCTTATCACGTGATTTCTTCCTGTGAAATCCTTGGATCGTCTAGCTAGTCTATTCGATCCCTATTTGCTGTAAGAGCTTGTGATGTGCTTGACCTGTCAGGACGCCGCCTGGTCTTCACTCATCCCGTGACAACACGTGATTCGTGACATTAGTATACTTTAGTAGAGAATAGTATAGTGTAAAAGCCCCCGTAAAAGTTATAGTTACTATAGTATACCTAGGACAAAGTAAAACTATAGGTAATCGAATTTATTTAGCGGACCTAAAGTAATATATTAACAAAAGTATTAACTACTTAACTAAACTTGAATATAACCCGAGTTAAGTTAAATAAGTATAATTAGGTAATTCCGTTAAGTTAAGATAAGTAGTAGATTTAACTATTTAAGTAATACCGGTACTCGAGGAGTTATATAAAACGTGACTGATTCTTACTATTCGAGTTGAGTGGGTTAGGTAGGTGCTACTACTTAACTTAACTACTCGAATTTAATACGTCAACCTAAATTATTACGAACTACTAACATTATACTATAGTTATCTCAATTTCGATTAGCTAGAACAGGCTTTGCTAGGGCCCAGAAAAGTACCCACTTTGCATGAAACAACTTTTAGTTTGGGGGGTTGGGGAGGGGGCATTATTCCAAAAGGATGTGGGAAGTACCGCTAGCGAACCACGAGTGGAGGAAGCGATCGAGGAGTATGATGCCTCGCATACAGCCTTCTACAGAATTCAAAAAGTGCTGTTCTAAATGCGGAATGACGAACTGGAATAATTTCAGTAGTGGCTCCTAAGCTTTTTGATGACGGAGATCTTGGGTATTTAGATGCATTTGGAGGGAGGTAAATCTCGTGATTCGCCTGAATTCTTTCAAGGTACCTCCTCCCAGGCGTGACAAACGTAAAGAGAGGTGGAAATTTTACCCTGTATTGCACTGAAATATCCCATGTGGACCTTACAGTATTTCTTTTACGTTTGTTACGCCTGGAACGAGGTAGTAGTTGTGAGCCAATCCTCACCCCTCTTTGCCGCTTATTTTGGCGATCCCTGAACCTGAAGTATTGCTTATCCCACATACCCCAATTGAAGGCAGAGGAAGATTACAAGCCCTCCCATTCCCGTGATGATTGTCGCAAATCGTTAATGGGTATGTGTCATTTTCTCATCTTCTGACCTGTGAGAACTGCTACTTTTGGCAACACTCGATTCCTGACCATGCATGGCCCAGTGAGGATCCAGGGAGGTTGCTCCGTGAGGTGTAGACTGTAATATAAAGTGTGGCAAGCTGACCGGGTCCAGAAGCGATTTTCAGGGACTCTCAAGGGGGGTTCATCCCCAATGGCAGGGTGCGAGTGCATTGCGTGGGGTAAAGCAGGCCTCTGTGCCAGGACTTGACACTTGAGTCGGGATCTTCCCATGTCTTTCTGTACTTCGTACAACCATACAACCGACCAGCCGAGCCGGAAGCTCCCCGACGACACAACATTAAATGATTTTGTCGTACACATGGGACGACATCTGACGATGAAAAGGAAAGATGCATCGGCACCTGAGGGGTCACACGATGTTTGGGGATAGAGGGAAGCAAAGGAGAGGCTGGGATGGGTTCTCAAATCAGATACATAAGTAGAGGTGGAAGCTGAGATGAAAAGCTGGAGGCACCATACTGTAAGCGAGCATCACCCCCTGGTTGATTCGATTCTACGTAGCCTCGGCAAGCGATAAGCCTTCGTATTTTAACGACCCTGCCATTGGTCCCGCCATTCGCCAGTTTTGCATGGTATATTTATGGCGATGGGCGGGGAAGAATAGCTGGTATATAATCGCACGGCAATCGTGTTTCTGACAAGTAGGCCAGCCAAGTTTCTTCCAGATTTCATCCGACTTTGAGCCGTTTCCCTCTATGAACTGATGGCTGTGGTGGGAGTAAGCTATGTGTATGGTGCTGGCGAGAGAGTGCAGAATTAGTTGACGATGTATTGGCAATCTCGGCAACGAAAGTCAACACCAACCCAATAATAGGTCTCGCTTGTCCAAGATAATTATTCCGTTATCGACATAAAATCATCTCTATTCCCACTGCATCAACAGATCTTGCCCGACTACAGCGTACGTACTCGCAACGCTACTCTCAACCTACACAACAACTCTTGATATCACGAGAATTAACACGAGTCGAGTACGGAGTTTCTAGGGCTTCTGCCTACAGTACGGAGCCGGTACATCAAGAGAACGGACCGGGACTTGGTCTTTGTATGGTACGGAGGTACACGGGTTGCTGTTCTCGTCGTTTCAACCTCGGCGTTTGTTTCTTTGGCCGTGTCCAACCCCTGGTGCCGTCTACTCGAGCTCAAGGTCGTACTCTACATCACAGCATACTCGCAGCATCCTGTACTCGTACAGTGAAGTACCTATGGTAGTCGAGTTGGACACGCATATTGACACCGAGGCTCAACCGTGAATCGCACCACATCCAACTCTGTAGGACCTCAAATACGGAGTACTCGTACTTGTACACCATTCACCCATTCCCACCACCATACTCACAAGTATTCCCCACATCTACAAGTAGCGGCTGTCCAGTCAATCTGGTCCAGGCAAAGTCAGTGCTGCGCATGCCCACATTCACGCCGTCGTGGACCCCTACTTTTGACCCCCCCTCGCCTGGACCTTTGCTTGTGAGCAGCCAGAGTCCAGAGTCCAGAGTCCAGACCCTCACGAGACCAGGATCCACCTGCGTTCCCTCCCTGCATGTTTATTTTATGCCATGCACCCGCACCTTCACCTGCAAATCGACTCCACATCCTCTCCCAATCTCCATACCCATCGTGATTCTACAACCAACAACCACATTTGGACGGAACCATCCACTCCCATCCCCGTTCTCCCATCTAGTCTCCACTAAACCACACGCCCCTGCCGCTGCCCGTTACCACTTTGGCACCCCAGAAGCGTTTTTCCAGTCCATCTGACCAGCCATCTCACGATACTGGCCGAGAATATGCCCCGCTGCCAACAACACTCATCAGAGCTCGAGCGCCCAGAGCACACGACCAGGACATCCTCACCGCATAACTTATTACAATCCTCCACGAGAATTATTTCGCCCGCGGCTCTAACATAACTCAATATGTCTCTCGCAGATTCCTCTTTAGAGACTCCAGAACCCTCTTCCTCTTCCTCCTCACAACCAGACATTATGCCATACGTTCACGATTCCGCTGATGCTTTTACTTATACCCTCCCACCTCGGCCGAACCCTTCTGCTGATGAGGGACTCACCATAGACGCGCAGAACTATGATCCAAATGTTTTACCTGCCTCGCCAAATAGCCTCGATGTATTCACCATTGGTCCCATCACTGCCCTCAAACTTCTTTGCGCTGGTATTGAAGCCTTAGTGAGGATCACTGGAGACGTCCCTCCCACTCCTCCTCCCACACATTCAACACCACCGAATATGCGAGGAATGCAAGCCGAGAAAGAGAATATAATTCGGAGCAATTCATACAAAAACTTAGCAGAGCTAAACAAACGTCCCAGGACACCATCCGATTCCGAATGTTCAGACATTGATGGAGTTATATTACGGAAGAGAACAATAAGGAGCCCAGCTCTCACTCCTACCGAACCACATATTATCATTGGGGATAATGCGGAGCCTCTGAATGTTCAGCATGGCGCCATTACACGAAAGTTTTACTCGAAGCACCCTCCTCCCATCTCTCTCGAAGATTATCTCATGCGAATACACAAGTTCTGCCCCATGTCAACTGCAGTCTATCTGGCAACTAGCTACTATATACATAAGCTGGCCGTCGATGAGCGAGCAATCCCAGTCACTAGACGCAACAGCCACCGATTACTCCTTGCAGGACTCCGTGTTGCTATGAAAGCCCTCGAAGACTTGAGCTATCCACATGCACGATTTGCGAAAGTCGGAGGGGTCAGTGAAGGAGAGTTGGCAAGATTGGAGATCAGTTTTTGCTTCTTGACCAATTTTGAGTTCAAAACAAGCAAAGAGCGACTTTTGGACCACGCCATTGGTCTCAAAGAGATAGCTTCGTTACAGGGATCGGTGAATTTCGTCCCAAGGTTGCCGTTGAAGCGAAGACTCAACGACTGAAGGCGAGATGAATATGACTTAATATAGAAGTGGGGACTGAAATGTTCGAAAGAGCGCTCACGCGTTGGCAGGATAATTGGTTCGCTCAAATGCGAAAATTGTTTCGTCTCAAGAGACATGAGACGGATGTTGACCCTACAACCATTTGCCTCATTCAGAGGGACCGGCTTGGGGTCTGGAACAATTGATATTTGTTATGGCAAGTTGTCGGTAGTGGATATCTTGGCTAGGCAAGCATGGCGTTGGAAAGGGAAGGCTTTTTTGTTCGACAGAAGATTTCGTGGCATCTAGCATACTGCATGGGCGTTCTGATGACAGACACAGAATGTTGCATAGTCTGGACATGGTTTTATACCCTTTTGGTTTTGTTTATACCCTTTGGTTTTTCCCCCGCTTCTGGGCACATGTATGTAGCCTTGATAATTTAATTATTTTGCAGTTCGTTCGGCTCGCTCTATCTTCTGAATTCTTGGCCATGTGAAGAAGCATGTGCGTTGTACAATTTCAGGGATGGGATGATGCCAAGGACAATCATCCAATGGACTTTTCCTGGCAGAGATTTATTGAGTTTTGAAGAGAACTGAAAACAATTGAGTTTACTTCTGATTAATTGATGCCGATATCTAAGTATAAATTGATAGCCCGCTTTGTATCGGCTTTCCCCCTGACTTCATGCCATGCTCACAACATGCTTTTCCCTTGTGCGACGGCGGAGCCTCCAAGCAACCACAACCACAACCACAACCCCGCAATTCTACGTAAAGATAAGCACTTTCACCACCACATCCCACCTTCCCCATACAATCAGCCTGCCAGGGCTTAACCGAGCATTCAGACACTTCAGTACACATAAGCAAATATCATCGAGGCATCAGGGAAGAAGTGCGAACAAACTACAGAACCATATTATCACCCGAAGACCAATAGCCAACATGGAGTCCTATGAAACGATCCTCAGGGGCAAATACCCCGCCAAAGCGCATGCCAGAAAAGTGGTCGAGTATATGCGAAAGAAGGGAAAGACGGTCAATGGAGTGCTTTACCTGGAAGGCCAGAAGACGAAGATGATTGAGGATAATGATGGCGAAGCACATTTCAGGTTTGTTACACTTCTCCTGCTGGCAGTCGTTCTGCTAATTTCCTTGCGCCAGACAGCGACGATACTTTTACTACCTCACTGGGTGCCAGCTGCCAGACAGCTATTTCACATACGATATCGACACGGATAAATCTACCCTCTATATTCCCCCAATCGATGCCGAATCTGTCATCTGGTCTGGTCTGCCTATGTCTGTGGAAGAAGCGCTCTCCCTCTACGATGTAGACGCTGTATCCACCACCCCCGAAGTCGCAGCCGTTCTAGCACATCCCCACGAACACCCTTCTATCTACGCAATCAAGAACCAAGTCAGTGATCACATCACCTTCCTCGAATTCAACGACAAAGACTTTGAGCTTCTCAAAGAAGCAATTGAAGAGTGTCGAGTGAAGAAGGATGAATACGAGGTTGCGTTGATTAAGAAGGCCAATGCTATCAGTACCCTCGCACATACGAAAGTCTTGCAGATGGTGAAGACGGCGAAGACGGAGGCGGAGTTGTATGGTGCTTTTTTGGCGACTTGTATTTCGAATGGATGTGCCGAACAAGCTTATCATTCTATTGTTGCTAGTGGGACTGCCGCGGCGACTTTACATTATGTGGATAACACGAAGCCTTTGGATGGGAAGCTGAATTTGTTGCTGGATGCTGCGGGGGAATTGAATTGTTACGCCGCTGATATTGTGAATATTCCCCTTTCAAATAATGTTGGGTGTAAATGCTAATTCAAACAGACAAGAACTTTCCCCATCTCCGGGAAGTTCTCCAAGGAAAGTCGGGAGATTTACGACATCGTTTTTCATATACAACACGTCTGCACAGACATGTTAAAAGCGGGTGCCATATGGGACGAAATCCATCTCAAAGCCCATGAACTCGTCATTGAGGGTCTTCTCCAGCTGGGAATCTTGCAAGGAGAAAAGGAAGCTATCCTCAAGGCGAGAACGAGTGTTGCTTTCTTCCCGCATGGCTTGGGACATTATCTAGGAATGGATACCCATGATACTGGTGGACATGCGAATTACGCGGATAAGGACTCGATGTTTAGGTATCTGAGAGTTAGGGGGCAGGTCCCGGCTGGGAGTGTTATTACTGTTGAACCTGGAGTATGTTTCTTCTTCCCCCCCATTCCATTTTTTGCCCTCTCTCCCTTCCCTTACCACTTCCACTCTCATCAAATTCGATTCAATGCTAACATAGCACAGATCTACTTCTGCCGCTTTATCATCGAACCGTACCTCACTGATCCCGTCCACTCTAAATTCATCAACGTGGAGGCTTTGGAAAAGTACTGGTTGGTTGGGGGTGTGCGGATTGAGGATAATATCTTGGTTACTGAGGAGGGGTATGAGAATTTGACGACGGCTGTTAAGGATGTGGAGGAGATGGAGAGGATTATTAATGGGTCGTAAATATTTCTTTTGAGGAGTGTGATTGGAAGGATGGGAGTGGATGTAGATAGTGAATTTGATGTGTGAATAAATGATTTTGAGGTTGCTTGTGGGTGGGAATTTGATGTGATTAACTTTGTGGTTTTGACGATGTGTGGGGGGGTTGTTTGGCTTTGTCGTGAATTTTGGCTGATTGGCTGGGTACTTGCCAGTGCTTGCTGTGTGGTAAGTATGTAGACTTGCATTACCCACTCAAGAATCCATTCCTCTATAATAAAAGCTGTTCGTCTTGATTATCCTACTACAGATTACCCTTCCTACCTCCGTATTTTACTGAGGTTGCATAGAATATATGTTCCAGCGAGGAAAATCTAGGGGCGGTGTTGTTTACAATATCCAAGCTTAAATGAAGATTTTAGAGGTGGGTAAGTGGATGTGTACCTGGGTACTGGAGTACTATATAAAAGGAGAAGGAGAAGGGAAGGGGAAGGGGAAGGGGAAGGGG